CTAAAAACTGTATTTCGGTTTGAAATAATTTAATTATGGGCGTAGAGATTACTAGCCCATTATTTTTGGCAAGCTATTGAAATGTCTGTAGAAGTTTAAAATGTTCATCTATTGATTTAGAGAAAACAAGTATATCATCAATATAAAATAATATATAATCAGAATATGGATTGAAGATTTCATTCATAATTTTCTGAAATTCAGAAAGAACATTTTTTAAACCAAACGACATAACATTCTATTCATAATGACTAAACGGAACAGTAAAAACCGTTTTATATTTGTCAGATTCAAGTATTTGAATTTGCAGTATCCAGATTTTAAATCAAATTTTGAAAATATTATAAATTTACTTAAGTCATTAAGTAAATCTCTTTTATTCGATATGAGATACCGAGTTCATTTTAATATTTTTCGGAGTGCTTATGATATTTCTTTTTTTTGTGAAAAGATTTCTCTTTTTCTTTTGGAAATTTAGGAATATTAGAAGCAAATTATTCACAAAAAACACCTAATTGCTTTCTTTCTGTTAATTGTTTTTTTTTAAATTTGATATCTCAATTTGAGATCTGTACATAAGGCTAAGCCTTTTTGTACACAAGTATTTATCAGTTGTCCATATGTCAAATTTTCATATGGAATACGTTTAATATTAACATTTTGTAATTGTCTTTTTACTTTATCAGCAAAAAGATTAGGTAAACCTTCAATAAATTTTCCTTAGGTAAACCTTCAATAAATTTTTGCTTCCAGTTCATTCTATTCACATCTGGTAGAGACATTACTTTAATTAAAAAGACATCTTTATACCAACAAAAATGTGTTAAAGTATGACATCTTAATTTTTGTAAAAGAGAATAAAGTTACTCTCTATTATCGGATACAATACCAGTAAAATACTGTAAAATATTGATAATTAATTTATAAACAACTTCAATATTTTCTTGATTAGGGTTTCCTATCGTTGTGGAACTTAGAAATTCTTCTCTTTGTTCTTGAGTTAAATAATTATCCTACCAACCTTTGAGAAGACCAGTAGACCCACATGTTAACTGGGTTACAATTTGATGGGCTCGATTATTATGAGATTATTATGACTACTCTGTGCGACAGAGGCATAAATCATCATTCTTTGTAATACTATTTATATTTGACGATTAATCATACCATCAACATCTCATTCATAAATATTAGATGGATTATATTCATTTTGATATTTATTATTATCTTCTTCATATAAAACATCTGCTGGGGTAGGTCGAGGATAGTAGTATCGACCTGTTTGTCTTGTTTGATATGAAGATATGACCTTATTTCCTTTTATTTTATGTATTTTAAATAATTCTAGTTCTAAATTATTATCTAGGAATTATTCTTCAATATGTTCTATTTTTATTTTATCATTATCAGAATTTTCTGATTGATCAGTTAATTCTGATTGATCTTCAGAATTTTCTGATTGATCAGTTAATTGATGATCTTTATTTAAGGTTGTTATTTTTAGTACTTTTTATATTTTTAATTAAATTTTCAAAATCTTCAATCGATGGTCCTAGGTGGAAATTAGGACTAGGAGGTGGTTGTAAAGTAGAAGTTGAAGATATGATTATCAAATTTGTTTTTTCTTCTTTTTGATTTTTTAAAGAGAAAAATAGTTGATCAATTTTATTTTCTAATTTCATCAAGTGATTTGATATTAAAGATAAATTTGTATTTGTAAAATTTAATTGTTTGATTACACCAATAAAATCTTTGGTGGCATTAGTTTCTAGAGTTTTTCCAAAGCATTTAACTCAAAATTTGGATTTCTATTATCAAAATCGAATATTGTGGGAACAATCGGAGAATAAATTGATTCTACTATTTCTCCAGAATTAATTTTCCATTTCCTTTTTTGCATGTCTAATTCATCTTCCAATTTTTTGATTGTATGATTACTAAACCAGGTTAAGAATGAAAAAAATTATTTTCCTTCATAAAATCTGTTTTCATTTTCTTCAAAATAAATTTCAAAGATTTTTTTTTCTATCATCTTCTGTGGTATAACTACAATACCAATTTCTAAATGATTCATATTTTGTTCTAGATAATCATTGACTAAAGCTTGTCTGATTTATTTTTTGGCGAATTGTTTTAAATCAGTCATTCTTAAAACATAAAATTAAAACTAGTTTTCGGTTGCGGATATATGTTTTCTACCCTTTTTGGGTGTAATAAATTATTATTTGATAGATTTATTCTATCTATCCTATGATTTATTGTTGATAATTCATCCGAATCATCATCCGAATCATTTTTGAGATAGATTAGAAGAGGGATAAGATATCCGTGGAAGAGTAATGGATCTTCTCGGGTTGAATCTTATGACAAAATCTTCGTTAGCATCTTGACTAACTTGTTCTACATCCTGATTTATTACAAGATGAGAATTTATAGTAGTTTGCAACTGTCATGATTCAGAGAATCTTAAGTCATCCCATTTTATAGTCCTATTTATAGATATTTTCGAAGCTAGCCAATTAGTTTCAACAATTGTAGATCTATCTGTTGGCTTCATGTGATTTTTAATATTCGGACATAAAGTATTCATAACTTTGAAATGAATTCGATATATTATTGTGATTGTTTCAAATCCAAGAAAAAATTCATACTCGTGTAACTTTATCTGTATTTTAGCTGCTTCAAAGAGATTTATGTCTGTCCGTGACAGACTTAGATTTGGAAAAGTGTTGAAGAAAATTAGACAATGGCATAGGCTAGTTTCCATAACACTACTTGCAACATAATAGAGATGTGGATATGGAGTTTGCAGTCAGAGAAGAATAGTGGAGTGGAGTGAGTGAAGAAATTAGAGAGAGAGAGAGAGAGAGAGAGAGAGAGAGCTGTGGGGAGAGGAAGTGAAGGTCTTGGTTGGAGGTGGAAGTGGACAGAGAGCTAACAACTTGAGAGGCGTTGGGAATTGAAAGTGTGGGTTGTCTCTATTTCTTTAGATCTGTGAGGAAATACTGAGAAAGAGATGAAGTTTTTAAGAGGTCACCAGTGATGAGGAGTAAAGGAATGGCCCTTCTTTGTGCAAGTTCCCCTTATGTGTTCTTTGCTAGGAATGTGTCTTTGATGTGTTTTATCTTGGTGTTAGCTCATCTTCTCGTTCACAACACGATCCACACTCACCACACCTTTTAGATTGTTGAATTCAATCTATCTGGTGTGTATGTCCAAGGGATGGAACGTTGGACCGAGGGAAAGAGATTGAGAGGGAGAGAAAGAAAGGAGAAGAGGAAGACTTCCCGGTCAGGTGGAAATGGGGTGTTCTCGGGGCTCTTCGGCCCATTTTATTCTATTGAAAACTTGAGTTACAAGTGGGAGGAGCCTCGCCCAGAAAAAAAAAGGGTGGTCCTCTTTACATTATGAAACCTTATTATTTATAGAAGATAGGAGAGGGTAAAAAATATATAAAATTACATATTCAGCCCTGCCTTAAAGAGAAGAAGCAAATGACATTTTAGTCTCTTTAACTCTGACCATAACAACATCGTGATTTGTGATGTAATTAATCAGTTAATTGAGAGAACTGGTCTGCCAACTGATTTGAGGTGGTTGGAAGAGAGATTTAGCCTGTCAATTAACATGAGGTGGCCGAAGGAGAGAACTTAGTCGACCGACTGACATGATGTAGCCGATTGAAATATTTTTGCCTCTGGCAAGGACTTGTTTTGGCCTGGCGAGGTCAGCGTCATTTTCTATCCTCACACGTTCATTTTTTTCAATAACGAACAACGCTCAACAAAAAATAAATATAAAGTCGATGCTAATTTTGTGTCAAAATAAAATCCGACGTGACACTAAAATGCATGTTTCTTGTAGTGATATCTAATTAACTCTCTCTTCTTAGTAATGAGGCATCCAATGTGCCAATCTCAATTGAGTCAACTATATGTGTCATTTCTCCTTAAAATTTTGTTCTTCCCTCCCTTCTTCATGCCCATCTAGCGCACAACATATCCATATTTTTAACTTTTTGGGCCATCAAATAAGTTCTTTAATATTTAATATTTTTTAGAGCTTAAAAATCCCTACATTTTATCTATGAGAATGCTGGATTCCAAGATGATCTCCCTCGAGCTCTATAGTCTATTTCCAGAAATCTTAGTCAAAATGGAATGGTAGACATAAGACAAAGTAGAATCATAGAAGTCAACATTTCATTAGGCCGAGGTTATATAATTTGTACGCATAGTACTGGACCATCCAAATGCCACATTTTCTCACATTTTTGTATTAGGAGCTTTCAGTTTTACATTACATATAGATAGCCCTTTTCCATTGTTTTCTCCTTTTTCTTTGTTTTTAACATTAAACTTTCCCTTTTTATTTTATCTTAAAAATTAAAATTTTTGCTTGTTGTGTTAAAAAAATTTCTATAAATCATAAATAATCAGCTTATTTGGTGTTGTGGGGTTTTGAAAACGCACATCACCAGTTTGGGTAAATTGAGTTTTAACAGTTTATGCATTTTCAAAAAGCAACAAATATCGTTTTCACACCACATCTATTTAAGTGTGGTGTCAACTTTCTGACAGCGGTCTGATTTTTATAAAAAAATAAAAATTTGTAATAGTTACCACACCTAGTTTATCAACAAATTATTTTTAATCAGTTTATTAGCAGATTATTCAATAAGCTGCAGTTATCCCAATCAGACCCAAAATCACTCAACGGATAATATATTACTAAAATTTAACAGAAATAGAAAAAAATCATCAATGGAATTAAAAGATAAAGAGAACTTCCAACCAAGCAATCATCCTCAATAAGAATTATCCACAAAAATTATTAAAAAAAAAACTTCAACAAATAACCAACTAAATATAAAATTATCAAATACTTAACCAAAACCAAGTTAAGAAAGTTGTCATATATAGCCATCCATAACCAACACTATGTCTCTCTATCTCTTCCTCCCCTCACTTTCCCTCTCTTAAAGCTTCCCATCAAACTCCATGGAAGTGCAGCCGCAATCCACCTTGCCGGAGAACATCTCCGACGACGACGACGACACAGGCATCCACCGTTCATATCTCTGCATCTTCTGCAAGCGAGGCTTCTGCACAGCACAAGCCTTAGGTGGTCACATGAACATCCATCGCAAAGATAGAGCTAACATCTTGAGACAGAAAGAGCTAAAAGAAAAGTATAGTTATAATCCTTCTCTAGTTTCTTACACTTCTTCTGAGGTATGGATGAAGAATTATAATATAGGTTTAAAGAGGAAACCTAATGAGTTATGGCTGTTTGGAGATGATGGTGGAAAGAGAGGAAGAATGGGTGGAGTAAATATGGCGATGGAGAGAGTTGAGGAGAAAGGAGGAGGATTGGATTTGGAGCTTAGACTTGGTCTTCAGCCTTCCATGTGAAGTATATATGTTGTTAGTATTCATGCATGGTCAGATTGTATTTGTGTACAGTTTATGTCTGAAATGTAACAGGGGTATGAATGCTAATTAGTTATGTGTTTTTGTTGGTGTTTATGAATTTAGGGTTTAGTTTCTCCTTGTGCTTGCTGAACAGATGTGTTATTTGGAAAGAAATATTAGGTCGGGATTTCAAACACATTAGGAGTTCAATGTTAGCGCGTCAGGTGTCAAGTGACCCCCAAAAAGTGTATTAGAGTGGGGTCATTTGACACGTGGCGCCACACCATTAGACTCCTAATGCATTAACAGTCCTGACTTAATATTCCCTCATGTTATTTGGAGAAGGAAATGAATAGTTTTTTTTTGTTTTTTCCTGGGTTCAAGATATTGACTGTAGCAGATAGGTGGTTATAGGGAAAATGGGGAATGAGATTGAAAGGCAAATTTGGAAGCAAACAATATGCATGTAGGGACAAAATATATATGATCTTGACTCATTAAACTTGTGTTTTTATATATATTTAATTGGTTGCCCACAATAGTTTTATTCTTTGATTTTTTTCATTATTAGGTGTGAAATATGTTTTTGTCCTGATTATAATTTTGTCAAGAAACGTTCAGCATTATGGTAGAATTGTTAAGAAGTGACATGATAGGAGGAAGAAGAAACATTATGAAAAAAGCGCACATGTTAGTAGAGCCTTTGCTTGAGTGAGAGATAGATTGGGGTTAGTTTTTCATATGTTTTGTGGGCAAGAACTTAGTTTTGTGATACTTTATCTTTTGGGGTTATCTTGTGTTGTATTCCTTGTATGGCTGCGTCTCCAATTTCCTTCTTAGCGCTAATGGCATGAGGACAGATTAATATACTTGATTAATCCAACAAGTCGATGACAACCCTTCAAATGACATATATAAATATTCTATGGGATATATATATCAACTCTAGCTAAGAAAAAAAATTCTATTATGATATATCCATGCTAGCGAACTCAAGAGCATCATATGTATTATGCCTCATGTACTATTCATAAGTATGAATCAACATGATATTAGTTAGAAAATTGGTCTAAACATTATTAGTTTGTCTACAATATCGTGGCAAGTCTTGGATTGAATATTTATTTATAGATCAAATGTGTTAAAACCCCTGCAAATTTTTATGGTGTTAGAAATGTTAATTATACAGAATCATCATAAAATTTGAATTTTGATGTATTATTATTTTGTCGAAGACTCGTAGTAAAGAAGAGAGCAATGTGGAGGTAGTATAGTATAGATATCTTCAAAATTCATCTAAGATGAATACAACATTGGTATTTATAGGTTTATCAGTGGGAGCCATTGTGAGATGAGGGAATGTGAATCAAATTAATGTTTACAAACTAACGGTTCAGATCTTATGGAGGACAATGTCTGCAAAGCCCCATGTGTAGGTTGCTTATTCAGGCTAAGAAACTAATGATCTTGATGCACTGTGAAACCCCCTCAAACTTGATATTCATGGGAGTAAAACTCAATTTTGTGATGTAGCTTGTAGAATTAGGAGGTGGAGAGGCATTTGGTGTGAATATTTACTATTTGATCTTCCTTGTTGACATGGCAAATCTTGACTATTTTGGCAGAAATGTGATCATGAATAAAGTGGAAGATGATATCAATATATTTGGTGCGTCTGCGAAAAAAATGGATTATTGGAAATAGTGATAGTTGAAGTATTGTCTTAGAGGATCAATCTAGGGTGACTTGAAATTGAACGTTGAGAAATTTGAAATGGGTTCAAGCTCTTTCATGTAGAATCGAGTGTGAAGTTTTTGAATTAGATGATGAATTAAGGTAGAATCATTTCCATTAAGTAGGTCATATTTTATGTAGATTAAGAGGTATATATTTTGAATTTATAATGAAGAAGGGAGGGTCAACAAAGTTGAGTGTGTAACTTTATTGTTTGGAATAACCATACAAAGTGAAGTACTATTGTCTTTGTGCATGTTTGAGTCCATAGGTAGCTTTGCAAAAGTAGACAAACATGATTGGGGAGTTGTGAGCTGCCAAAGCCCTATGGTTGCTTGATTTATATCATGTCATCAAGGAAATTATGGAAGAATGCCTTGAAGACATCAAACTGAAATATTGGACAACTGTGATAAAAAGCTACTAAAAGAGAAGTTTGAATAGTTGTAATTTTAGGCATTGGGCTGAATAAATTTTCATAGTTAATATATTGCCCTAGAAAAGCCCTCAGCAACTAAATTATACTTCTGATATGACACTAAACCATTAAGCTGGTGCTTAGTTTCGTAGGTCCACTTGTAGCCCGGTATTGGTTGGTTAGTGGGAGGAGGAACAAAATCCCAACTACCGTGTTATTGAAGGGCCATGAATTCCTATGACATAGTTTATTTCCGTTGAGGTTGCTTTATGTCTTGAGTGAAGCGAGTTGGGGGAGTAATGATAAGAATCACGTGACATTGTATGGATGAAAATGTAATTCATATAGTTGAGTGCAAATAAATAGAAAAATAAACTTTGAAGGGAGTAGAGTTAGAGGACCTTAAAGTGACAGGTTAAAGCCCCTAATTTGATTTATTGTTTTAGGTCGTGATACAAGATGTTAGCCCACAAGTGGAGGGAAAAGAGGGAATGCTAGAGTGAGAGCTAGTTTCTTCCCTACCTAGCCCGTCTTTAAGACTATTCAAACTTTAAATTAGTCAATATTCTTTATAGCAACTCTAGTAAGGGTAAAGAATAATATTGCATCTATTTGGCACAACACAGTTTGAATACTTCCACAACATAATTTCTATACTTGTTACTGATTCATGATAATGAAAAATATAATTTATTTATTTTGCTTTCATCTTACAAATATCTAATTAAATTTAGTTAGTTGTGTACTTTATTTATAAATTATCAAAAATTACCAAAAAGAATCAAATTTTTATTCCTATTATAACATCTATAATTTGAGTAAGAAGTAGAGTTTGTTATATAGTTTCTTATTACAAGATTGTAATTCTCTATGTGGGTTCGATATTCAGAGCTTAATAAAAAAGTCCAATATTACTTGATAATGATATGTATAATTATGAAGTATCCCAATATTTAAATATAATAGTTGCATTCCTATTTGCTTTGGAGTCATGTTTTTAGCGTGGTTATAAAGAAAGAAATATAAATAAAGGACATTGAGAATATAACCAAACATACTTCGTAGTACTATCGTATAAGTCGGGATCAGAGTGCTTAGGAAACAATCAATAATACTTGAAGTAATCAACAATAAAAGTAACAAATATGTTTGTCCACTAAGAGATTTCAAATGGGCGGGGCCCATACATTAAGTGAACTAAGGAAAATTTGTATTTAGCTCCAAATGTAGAAATAAGAAATGAAAATTTTTTTCCTTATAGAAGTTGTACATGGATTACAAAAAGAATTAGATGTTGAATGTAGAGGAAATATTTTTTTTTGGAGATTTTTAAGATAATTAGGGAGTGTGGATGACTCAAGCATTGAATCCATAGATTGGTTGGGGAGATTTTTAAGTACATGGCATGTGGGATGGAGATAGGATTTAGACCATTCCAACTGTTCCCTTTAAGAAGTAGTTGGTTTAAGATTTGATCCTAAATTTGAAAAACATGATATTCAAATATAATAGATCAATTATTATTAGTAGTGAGATTATGAACTAACAGAAGGGTATTAGAGAGATTTGGAATATGTAGTAAACAATTTAGTTGAATATTACTAGAGGGCGTTGATAAACTTTCATATTAATGTGAGATATGGGTAGGGAGCTGCCATCTCTAGTTATCACTTGATCATTTCCTTCGTATTTCGTAGGATTCTGCAAATGATTATTAAATATGAGAAACTTTGATATCAAGGACGCATTTGATTATGTTTGTAATTGAGTCAGCTATAAGAGTTGTGGAGTGTTAAATGTGGAAGATGAGTAGGATAAGCTTGCTCTATGGCAACATGCATGATATGTGTGACCAATTTTGTCATGTATTTGAGATGTAACAGAAGAATTGTTGGTTTTGTTGCTGGTGTTGGTTTTATAGGTGTGCTTGGAAGTAGCTAATAAATTTTCTAGACGCTTATAAGTAGTAGAGTGTTTTCCTTCTCAGTTTGAGCTAGAGCTATAGGAAGGAAGGATTGTTGTTTGGTTTTTTTAGCATGAAGGCTGTTATTTTCACTACAGACTAAGAAATAGAGACCATTTAGGTGAATTGACCCAGGTCTGGTATGGATGGTAATTTTGAAGGACTGAGAGTTTGATGGGAGGCCATTGAGAATGTAGAGAACAATGTCTTCAATGCTCTATTTTGATCCTACTATAACTAACGGATCAACAATAGTTTTGACGTTAATAAGAAAGTGCGTCATTTAGTTATTCCTCAAAGTAATGTGTTGTAGTTTTTTTCTTTAATTGTATCACTTTGAATTAGCTAGTAGACTGGAGTCTTTTAATTAGTATATCCCATATGGATGCATTGGTGTCAAAGAGAGAAAATGGAATGAATTATAGAGTGATAAAAAATTAGACATTGATAGAGAGGTTCTGATCGATTAGTTTCCAATGGTGAGATTAGCATTATCAGATACTTGATGATTTTTGCTTTAAGTGAATTAAGGCAAGTAGATAGACAACCTACATAGGAAGGTTTTAAAGACATTGATCATGAAGAGTTTGTAAAATTATGAGCGCTAGATGTGATAATTAATTGTTGTGAGGAGGTTTTGAGCCAACATATTAATTTTGAACATTAGGAATTTTATGGAGGGCGGGATGGGACTATTTGATGATTTGTGTAGAGGACGTCCTTCTAATTGGTAGGATTTAGAGGACAGAGAATCCATTGGAGTGAAGAGAGAAAAGGAGAGTTCTTATTATTAGTATATGGTATATGATACCATGAAGGCTTATAGTAAGGTAGAGAGCAAACTAGAGGAAAGGAAAATTAGTATAATATACATATTTATAGAAT